GCACCAGCTCCAGGAGAACCCTCAGACCCAGCAGCTCCAGCACCCACAGTACGAGCACCGCCGGGACGCTCGGCAGCAGTACCCTCTGCAGCCGAAGAACCTCTAGCACCAGCAGCAGGCCTCCAGTGCCTGGCAAACCACTCACGTAGCTCCTGAGGGGAGAGTGGCTCTCGGCGAGACGAAGCACCTCCAGGCGGAGCACCCCAAGTCTCAGCACCCCCAAGCTCAGCACCCCGAGGCTCAGCACCCCCAGGCTCAGCACCTTCAGGCTCAGCACCCCCAGGCACAGCACCCCCAGGCTCAGCACCTCCAGGCATTGCACCCCCAGGCTCAGCACCCCCAGGCTCAGCACCCCCAGGCTCAGCACCCCTAGGCTCAGCACCCCCAGGCACAGCACCCCCAGGCTCAGCACCTCCAGACTCCGCACCCCCAGGCTCAGCACCCGCAGGCGTAGCACCTCCAGTCTCAGTACCCCCAGGCTCAGCTCCCGCAGCCGCACCAGAGTCACCAGTGTCCTCGACAGGCTCCACCACGTCTACCTGGGACACACCTGAAGGGGCAGGACCCTGAGGGGGGAGGGGGTCTACTGGGGGGGGGACCTGGTACCAAGAAGAGCGGGGGCGGGGGGAGGGACGGAGTGCGGTAGGGGAAGAGGCGGTAGTAGGGTACCGACTCGTCGAACGTGACGTCCTGGGAGGACAGAACACGTCGAGAGGTGGGGTGGTAGAACTGCCACCCAGGGGCGTCGGGGGGGAACCCCAGGAAGACGCAGGGAGCAGCGCGAGGGGACAGCTTGTCCGCAGACAAGTCGCGGACAAACGCCCGAGATCCCCAGACCCGGAACGCCGACGCATCGCCAACCTTCCCCGTCCACAGCAGCGCTGGGGAGGTCTCCGGCCTGGAGACCCTGGGGTGGAGGTTGATCTGATGCGCTGCGTACCTGACCGCAAACGGCCACAGAAAATGGGGGGCAGCCGCATGCATCATGGACGTACAAGCGACGTCCATGACCATGCCAATGCGGCGCTCTGCAATCCCATTTTGCTGCGGAGAGTCCGGAAGCGTGAAGGTCTGGCGGATGCCTCGCGCACGACAGTAGGCACGCAGAAGGCCAGAGGAGAACTCTCCGCCTCTGTCCGAGTGCAGACGCAACACAGGAAAGTCCGAGCCAAAGCTCTGCCTGAGCTGGAGACGAGCTGCGCGGATCTAGTCGATCAGCACCTCAGTGACATCACCCTTGCTGCGCAAGGGGAAGACTGTGGTGTAACGCGAGTAGTCGTCAACCACCAGCAGAAAGTAGCGCTCATGACCGAGTCCACGGACGCGGGCAGGGCCCCACACGTCCATGTGAAGCGTCTGCAACGGAGCCTCTGTCGGAGGAAACTGGGAGGAGTGAGGAGCAGCACGCTGGCGCCCCTCGACACAGGGGACACAGGCAGGGCCAGGGCCCTGAGGAAGGGGAGGTAGAGACCGGGGGAGACCAGACACAAGAAGGCGGGAGGCCATGCCTCTGAGCCGAAGCAGAGAGGGGTGGCCAAGGCGGTGGTGCCAGAGGAGGGTCTCGTGAGACAGACGGCGACACGAACAGGGGGCAGACTCAGGACCAGACCTGGACGCTGCAGCAAACACCTGACCAGACGAAGGGACTCTACCAGACTCAGCACCGGGAGGAGAAGCAGTGGTCAGTGTGTACAGGCTCGACCCTGGCTGACGTGTAAACGTAGCCAGGTGACGACCCGTGCTAGCCTCCGTGCAGTGCGTCACTCGCTGACTAGCAGGGGTGAACTGGTGGACTCCCGCATCCTGTAGGTCAGCACCACTCACCAAGTTCGTAGAGAACGAGGGGAGGTAGAGACCAGACAGGGTGCCAGAGGGAGCCGCCGGACACGGGAGGAGTGTGGAGAAGCGAGCCAGGACAGGACCCCCAGAGGGGTCAGCCAGGGAAACCGCAACCGGCCGACTAAGCGGCGTAAGTGTGGTGCGGTCCCGAAAGAAAGAGCGAGACGCTCCAGAGTCAAGAGTGAAGGTGTGGGAGGCCGAAGCCGATGCAGTACCTGAGAGCGCAGGCGCACTAGTACCTGAGAGAGCAGTCTCACGAGCACCTGAGAGCACAGACGCACTGGCACCTAGAGCAGAAGCCTCACCAGCACCTGGAGCAGCAGTACCAATGCCCGGGTCGGGCGGGAAACACCGGTAACAGTCACCCTCCTCACTAATGGTCACAGCATACATGGCAGCAAGGATAGCATCAAAATCAAGATCAAAGATAGCTACACCAGCCCTAGACAGCTCTTCCCAGCGGGGGATCTCCGCGGCCTCCGGGAACTGCTGACGCCAAGCGTCCGTCAGGCGGCCAAAGCAGCGCTGGGCGGAGTGGGCACCCCCACACTGCTCTCCAGTGCGGTCGCCAGTGCGGAGAACGTAGGTGCAGGGACCAAAACCCCCACCGCGCTGACGCTGCGTGTACCACTCACGGAGCTGCTGAGGGGTGGGGACGTCGCGAGAACGCTGCTGCTGCTGCTGCTGCTGCTGGCGCTGACCGCCACCAGTGCCGCTCCGCTGCGAAGCTCCACTCCGACCACCTCCACCTCCGCCACCCCCGCCTCCGCCTCCACCGCCCCCGCCTCCACCTCCACCGCCGCCACCTCCGCCACCTCCGCTACCACCGCCACCGCCGCCGCCACTCCCGCCTCCACTGCTGCCACTAGCACCCCCACCCCCGCTACCACCTCCACCGCCACCCCCACTCCCTCCGCCGCCTCCACCTCCACCGCCACCGCCCCCACTGGCCCCACCCGCTCCCTTGCCCCCCTTGCCCTTGCCAGAGCGGCGTCTCCCGCTAGGGGCAGACGCCGCACCGACCGACTCAAGACCAACGAGGTCGGCCGCAGCGGCAGAGGCAACAGAGGGCAGGAGAGGGGAAGGAGAACACCCCTCAAAGATGGGGGCGCGGGGGTCACCTCTTGAGGCTCCAACAGCAACTATGCTCTTCTCTGCTGCAAGGAGGGCCTTCTCGAGGCTGTCGACTGTGAGGGTGGTGGGACAGACCGCGAGGAAGTGGTCCCGGACTACACGAAGGGAGTCAGGGAGGCGAGTGACTAAGAAGTAGAGAGTGATGTACATGGGGGGGGGGGTTCTTGGCGCAGAAGTCAGCAGGAAGCGCAGCGCGGTAGCGAGTGTCACTAGTGCGGAGGTGCGTGATGAGATCAGCGTTAGTGGGAAAGGCGGCAAGGTCAGGGAAGAGGAAGGGGAGCATGAGGCGGCTCAGTGCAGCAGTGGCAGGGGAGGAGTAGCGCGCAACTACAGCGTCGTACAGGGTCTGAGCACTCTTGTACTAGCTAAAGTGCGCGCGCTCAGCGGTAGGCAGGTGGCGACGCACAGCAAGACGTGCAGCAGCATCGCGCGTGGCCCACTGAGAGCGAATAGTGGCGTCAGCATCAGCAGCAGGGGCAGGGACGGCGCCAGAGGTGAGGTCAAAGAGAGACAGACCGTCGGCCCTGTCGCACTGTAAAAACAGCTGCAGGTCGTCGAGCCAGACCTCAAAGTCAATGGCTCGACCCTCAGCGTCAAAAGCGAGGACACTGGGTGTAGCCATGACGACGACAGTGGAGCAGTGCAAGCAGTAGGGGAAGGGTACGCAGTGACAGCAGTGCAGTGCTCACCGGGCAGGGCAGGTCGGGCGGCTCGGGAGGAAGGTCGCCTGGCGACACGGCCGCTAGGCTGCTGGGCGGCTCGGCTCCCGGGCGGCTCGGCTGCTGCTGGGCGGCTCGGCTGCTGCTGGGCGGCTCGGCGGCTGCTGGGCGGCTCGGCGGCTCCGGGCGGCTCGGCTGCTGCTGGGCGGCTCGGCGGCTCCGGGCGGCTCGGCTGCTGCTGGGCGGCTCGGGTGCTGCTGGGCGGCTCGGCGGCTCCTGGGCGGCTCGGCTGCTGCAGTTGGGCGGCTCGGCTGCTGCACTCGGGCGGCGCGAGAGCAAGGGGCGGCGGGGCCGTTAGTGCTGGGGCGGCGGGGCCGCGAGACCAGGGGCGGCGGGGCCGCGTAGTAGGGGCGGCTGGGGCCGGGAGCGCTTGGGGCGGCGGGGCCGCGAGATCAGGGGCGGCGGGGCCGTGAGCGCTGGGGCGGCGGGGCCGCGAGATCAGGGACGGCGGGGCCGTGAGATCAGGGGCGGCGCGGCCGGGAGCGCTGGGGCGGCGGGGCCGCGTATCAGGGGCGGCGGGGCCGGGAGCGCCGGGGCGACGGGGCCGCGTATCAGGGGCAGCGGGGCCGGAAGCGCTGGGGCGGAGGGGCCGCGAGATCAGGGGCGGAGGGGGCCGTGAGCGCTGAGGCGGCGGGGCCGTGAGATCAGGGACGGCGGGGCCGCGCGCGCTTGGGCGGCGGGGCCGCGAGATCAGGGGCGGCGAGGGCCGCGAGATCAGGGGCGGCGGAGCCGCGCGAGGAAGGGCGGCGAGGGCCGCGAGAGCAGGGCGGCGAGGCCGCTAAGGCGGCGCGAGGGCGGGCAGCGGGGCGCGGGCGCTAAGGCGGCGCTCGGGCCGTTAGGGCAGATCGAAAAAAAAAAAGCAAGAGCAAGGGCCCGGAGCGCGCTCCGGGCAGAAAAAAAAAAGGTTCGATGTGGTGGGCCCTAAGCACAGTTCCCACGGGGGAACCTGCTCGATACCATGAGAAAGTTAGAACGAGAATGAAATGACTATGAATGAAGTGAGTACAAATAGGAAACTCTAGTTGGGTTGTACCCCCTATGGGATACCCCACTATAGCCTACACAAATAAGTAAGCTATAATATTCTGACACCGCCAATGCTCACCGACGTCGCTCACACTCAATCATCACCCTCGCACTCTCCTCTTGTGCAGAAAATATGTCGACCGACATCGCGGAACCATCGGCGACACTTAGACCACCGAGCAGTTCCGCAAAATCATGTTCAAGGTGTTGCCGCACTGGTCGGCGACAGCGTGGAATCCGGGGGGAACAGGTCCTTCCCAGACTCTGTGGAAGTTCATGCTTATGAGAACGATGACCCTGCTATCGCACCACACTCTGCTCCACGGTGCGAGCGTACGCGAGATCACGCTCGCCGACATCTTTCTGTACCACCTTGCTAGCGGGTCGTCGGTGAACCCTGACAACCGGCCAATGGTCATGGTCATCGCGCAGCGCAACTCCAAGACGTGCAAGGACGCACGTCTTCATCACAGCTACGCGGCAAGGCACTTAGAGGCGGAACTGTGTGCTGTGGGCGATACAATCCTCTGGCTGCACTTCATCTACGACCAGGTCCCCCAGATCTTCGGCGTCCCCATAATTCCGCCGCTGGACGTACGACGACCGGAGCTCTGGTACGACAAGCATCTCTTCTTCGCCCGCTACGACAAGGATCAGGGTTTGCTGCCGTCGTCGAGCCAGCAACGAATCACTCGGCAGCTGTGGACGGCCAACAAGGTTTTCATCAAGCGCAACGTGCACGCCGCTCGCGCCGGCAGGGCAGAAGAGCTGGCTGACCAAGGCACGCCGCGCGCCGAGATAGCCGAATTGGGTCACTGGGCTATTGACAAGATGACGAGGAGTTACATCACTTGAATTCCAGTTGGGGTGGTGATGAGGAAGGCCGGCTACTCCGGAGCCCGAAGCGACTACTTCCTGGGCCGCAGCAGGCTACCTCCCAGCGCAGACCTCGAAAAAACCATCGCCGCGCACATATTTCCCGGCGTCGAGGAATAGTTGGGGGCGGTGAGTGTAGCAACGTCGTCCTCATGCATCTTGTCGTCTCTCTTCACTGGTTCACACCGACATTCCTCTATTTCATGCAGGCGGAAGAGCTCGCACAAGGGCCTGAGGCGAACACGGCCGCGGTGCACTTCATCCAGACCATGCTGGATCCACGCCGCATTGCGGCCGAGGACCTCGCGGTGAAACTCGTCCGCACTCCGTGGCACCCTCAGGTCCAGGCTTCGAGGCTTTGTCGAGATCGCGACTTTCAGGCATGGGCGAAGGACATCGAGAAGATTCACACCGAGACGATCGCCAAGCGCCGGTCGCCGATCCCGACCCAGCCAGCTGTAAGCACAAGATGAACTCCGCGTGACTTGGCGGCAAGCGTGCTTGCATCACCTGACTCCTAACCCGCTCCGCTGCTGTTCGCAGGAAATCTCAGCCCGCCTGGACGCCGAATTTCAGGTCGACCTTCTGAACGAGACGCTGGCCCACGAGAGGCACAAAGCGACGCTCAAGCAGATGAAGGTGGAGAAGGAGCTCGAGGAGGCGCGCGCTGCTATCGCGGCGAGGGACGCCGAGATCTCCCGGCTCATGGAGGAGCTCAAGATCTCCGAGGCACGTAGGGCGCCAGCGCCACAGGCGCCTTCTAGGCCGACGACCCTGGAAGAGGAGGCAGCTGCGGCCGCTAAGCAAGCTCAGTTGGACGCCGACGCTCACTACAAGGCCCTGGTTGTCGACCCATGGAGAAAGGCCGAGACTGTGGCAGAGGCCTGGCGCTTCTGGAACTGCCCCACCACCACGGACCGCCGACGTCTCTGCGACAGGTTCAACGAGCCAGGTTTCATCGGGCGGCACAGCCTCCTGGGAAAGTCGTCGGCCAACGCAAAACAGGGTGAGATGCGCCAAATGAGGAGGGCGACGGAGGCCGTGCGCCGCTTCCGCTCGTCAGACGGAGAGGCCGACACCGCCGCCGTTATCAAGAAACTCGACGAGCTCGCTGCGTTGGGAATTGTGACCTTCTGCGATGCTCTGAAGATCATCGACGCCGTCGCGCTTCTGATACGCACGGAGGGGAACCTGGGCATCAAGGGACTTTCTAAGGGTGAAAAGCCCAAGCTGACGGTTGCTTGGGGACTGGTGGCGGCGGGATACATGACGCACAAGTGGGGCGAGGACATGTTCCCAACCACGTGGGGAGAGCAGAAAGCTGTGGCGGCCCAAGCGGCCGCGGAGCAGGCCGCTGGAAGACCGCCGCCGCTGCCGACGAAGACGTCCAAGCGTCGGAAGCCGGGCTGATGTTTTGTCGCCGCTTAGCTACTTTCTTTTAGCTCGATTGTGACTTTTGTTTCCGACTTACTGTGGATTCAATGTTCCCAACAGTTGAGAATTTGCCAAAGAACCGAAAACATGAGGGCGTTTCATGAACAGCAAATTAACCTACGTGCTAGAAACACAGCAAAAGTGCACAATAAAAGTCGGCGCCCACCAAAACCCCACAATCAATCAACAATCTTGCTACACATTGCGACATCGGTCCAGAACACAACGACAGACACAACAACAAAACCCATCTACGCGGCGTGCTTCCCCTTCTGTCCCTTCTTTCCCCTGTTATCCATATCCTTCTCCATCTGCTTGTCCAGCGGCACTTGAATGCCGCGTGCTCGGAGAAGGGGGCCGCCGGCGTTGCACGACCCCCAGAAAGCGAGGGTCTCGATAGTCGCCCTCGCGATAATCTTGGCGTCGGGTGTGGGGTCACAGCCCTTGCACGCCTTCCGAAGAGCATCCTTCTGCAGTGCGTCGATGACGTTGCACGAGACCTCTCCCAGGACGGGTTGTCTCGCAACCGCCGTTTCTAGCACCCCAACCACGACGTCGTGACAAGTGTCAGCAAAATCGGTGCTCGCTTCACACAGCAGTGCCGCCGCCTTCGCTTCACCCGCCGCATTGTCGACCTCGGCCACGGTCTCGGCGAAGCACCAGACGGCGCAAGATGAAGCAGCGACAGCTTGGCCTATGCGCTTGGCGTCTGCACCAGTTTTGGGGACGGCATCTGCCACGACTTGCCCAAACGCCGCGCACAAGCAAGAGCGGTTGATGATGTCGCTGAGCTGCTGCTTGCGCTTGGCCGGCTCCCAACCAGTGCCGAACCACACCGCCGGCCTCAGCACTTTCATCACCGGGGGCCCTGATGACTTCTTCTGTTTGAAGTCGGCGAGGACTTTCTGGAACTTGTCACGCACGACGTTGGAACGTGAACGTGGTCAGTCGGCGTAAAACCCCACAGTCAAACCTATATCACGCCGCTCAAAACACATTGAGTCCAACGATTCTTACCGTGCACGAAACATGGTGGCGCCGCGGGACCACATCACCGTCCACATACCCTTCAGCATCACCTTCGCCTCCTCCCACTCTGCCTTCCACCGCGTCATTTCTTCGGCTTTAACGCCGGTCATTTCGGCCAACAGGACTTGGCTGGCGTGTCCGTCGAAGATGGTCGTCGCAACGCCGTTGAGGTACACCACTTCCATCCTGTCGTCCGATCTCCCCGTGTAGCGACTCTTTCCAGCCAGGTTTACCTCGCCCTGCCACCCGCCACCGCTCGTCCTGTCCAGCCTAATACCATGCCCCCTGCGATATTTCGGAACGACGGCCTTCTGCGACGCGGCGGCTTTACCCTTCCGTTTCTTTTTTTTTTCGCCGACTCCAGCCGCACGATCGGTCTGTCCATCCTTGTCGACGTGTTCACCCACTGGTCCACCGGCCAGAACAGTGGACGTCCCCACCTGACCCGCCAGGTCCGCAACAGTGACGCCCGCCGACCTGTCCGAAGGCCCGGCCTGGCTGGCCTGAGTAGCCACTGTAACGGCGGTGGGCCGAGTGGACTCTCCAGCCAGACCAGCCTGGTCAGAACCAGTGACGCCGCTCGGGCCGGTCTGGAAGGCCCTATCCACCTGTATGAAGCCGGCAGGATGACTCTGAATGGGCGGAACAGCCTGGCCGGCTACATTGACGCCGGTGGACGCCAAACGGGCCGGCTGCACGGTCTGCCCGGCCTGGGTGGACGCTGTAACACCGGCAGGCCGACCCTCCATGCCACTGATGCCCGACGTACCTCCCACAGACTGAAGTGCGGCTACTTCGTCTGCTTCTATTGCCGCTTGTATCAATTCCACATCCTCGTCCTCGATGATGAGAGGGATCTCCCCCGCACCATCGTCTCCTACCACTGCGCCCCAATCACCTTGTCCAGACGCCGCGCCGACCTGGTGATGCGTTGGCACCGCCGTTGGAACCGTCTCGTTTGCCGCTTCTTGGTGTACGCGCTCCGCCAAGTTCACCGTGGTCGGCGCAGTGCGCGTGCCGTGAGTCTGCGGTTGAGCGGATTGTGCACCTGTTGAAAGCGCGTTGACCTCGGCCATCAGCATGTCCGAGACTTGGTCCGACGGCGTGGCAACAGCGGCAGGGAGCTGCATGGTCGGCGCAGCGCTGGTGACAGTAGTTGGCGGATGCGATGAAGGTGCCGCCGCTTGAAACGAGTTGACCGCGGCCAGAAGCATGGCCGCGACCGGGTCCGTGAGGGTCTGACTGGCATTTTCTTGCCCCGAGCTTGGCGCTGCGACGGGCCCAGTTGTCGGCGGATCAGCAGATGGTGCTGCCGTGTGACGCGCATTGACATCGGCCGAGACCGGGGCTGTTGGTGCTGTACCGGCGACAGGTTGCGCCCCCCCGCGAGTTGTTGGGACAGCGGCGTTGTCGATGGTGACGGGCTGCTGCTGCGATCGCGCCTGAAAAGCAAGAAGCTCCTCCATCAACGCTCTCGCCACGGGATCATCCTCCACGCCGAAGGCACCCGTGTCCCCCCCCACGCCGACCACAGGAGCTTGGTGAGTCTGATCGCCGATTGACGGAGCCTCAACATCGAATGGCGGCCCGCGATCAACGCCTGTCGCCGCGTCGGCCTGCACTTCAACCGATTCAACGGCGACGTTACCACGATCGAACGGCGGTGGTGCTACCTCGCTTGCTCCAGGACGTGGAATCTCCGGACCTTTCCTTCCACCGCCGTGAGTGGAAGACCCGCCGGCTCGCACACCCTCCTCGGCGGCAGTCCTGCCCTCCGAGCTGCCGCCAGCTCCGCCTCTACTTTGCAGGCCAAGGAGCCGAGTTGTCGCCCCTTTTCTCCTCAGCATGTCGAGGACGGGAGAACCGGACTGGGCACGATCTGGAACGTCGCCGCCGACTGCTCGCTCCCCACCAACACCTTTACTCCGCTTCGAATTTCCCGCGTTGTCGCCGTCGGCTGCACTTCCGCTGCCAGCCCTTTTTTCCGGCCTATGCCTTTGCGCGGTCTCCAGGTCGCCGGCCGACGGGGACGAACCACGCCGCCCCAGCCTCATTGTAGCAAGCACGTTGGGCAGAAGCGTGAAGCCGACGGTTCCCAGCGCCTGCTGCGTGACGGCGGTTACCGCCTGAACAATGTCATCCCTCGTTGCTTTGATGACTTCTTCAAGCAGCGCGGGGGATGGACCGGGCGGGGGCGGCACGATGCTGCGGGATAAGCCGCCGATGATGTTGGTGGAAGTTGAGGCTAACTTGGTCTGGATGTAATCGGCCAACACCGCCTTAACGTTATCCCCCACGCTGGTCACGTGGTTCCCCAACCGCACGTCGGCATCACGGCGGGCGACGGCCAGCTTGTCCAAGCCCTTTGTGATTTCCCCCAACAACGGCGTCGCCATGCTGCTGCACGCCTTGACCAGAGCAACCCGATCGTCCAGCACCTTGGTGAAGACGCCGGTCATGGCTGCTGTGGCTGTGGAGATGTGTGTCCCCGCGGTCTGCTCGGCAACGGCGACGCGTTCGGTAAGCGACTTGACAGCCGCGAGGCACTCAGCCGCCGTCGCCAACAACCCCTCCGTCTGACACCTCTCGGTAACCAGATCCGACCGCAGCCCCGCATTCTCGTCCCTCAGTTTCATGTTCTCCTCTTCCAGTCGCTTCACGTGAGCAAGTGCGGCTGCAAACGCCGACTTTGAAGATGTGGTCGACAATGTTCGGTGATCTATGTTCGGCAATCTCTGCGTACAACCGTTGCAAGGGCAGGCTAGGTGAGCCGAGGGTGTACCAATGCAAGCACAGTTAGACGACCAATTAAAGTCGGCTACAAGGTCGACAGAAACTCACGTCGCGCGTGGGCCCGTTGCAACCGGCGAGTCGAGCCACCACGACCTCCTCAGCGGGAGGCGCCCACTTCCATGTCCTGTCACTTCTTCCAAGCTCGGCCAAAACACAGCGCCGGAAAAAGCTGCAACAGCAGTGCACGAAAGAGTCAGTGGGGACGCCGTCGAGAAACCAGTAACCTGGTAAAGAGCCTTCCCAATTTAAGCATGCCTACCTCAGCACGGCGAGCGCCTCAGACGAATGCAGCCGGTTTGTAGTCTTCGGGTTCAAGTGGCGGAACGAGGTCTCGCTGTCGACGTCGACGGCCTTCAGCAAGTCGCCGGGCCGAAGAACCACGACGACGCTGCAGTGGACCCCGGGAAGCGGCTGTCAGAGCATTATAGCTTATGCTTTTGTGTAGGCTATAGTGGGGTAGCCTATATTGGGTACAACCCAATTAGGGTTAGCACTTGTACCCAACTCTTTCATAGTGCATTCATTCTCGTTCACTTTCACATGGTATCAGAGCACATATGCTCCTGGCCTGTGGGCCCTACTACTGCTTCCGCTGCTACTCGATCTGTCGCACGCCCTGTGGCGTGCGACCTAATTTACATCTCTGGCGCGCGCCCAGAGGCGCGTGACCCCGTTCCTTCTAGGCGCGCCACTCCCCGCTACCCCGTCGCGGCGCCCAAGGGAGCCGCGTGCGGCCCCTCGCTGCCCCGTCGCGGCCCCATCTCGTCGCGCCGCCCTAGCGGCCGCGTCTCGCCGCCCTCGCGGCCCCAATCCGCCGCCCTAGCGGCCCTGTCACCTACCCCTGCGGCCCCGGCGCCGCCCATCCCGGCCCCAGCTCCGCCCTTCCTGGCCCCGGCGCCACCTCGGCTGACCCCGTCGCCTACCCCGGCGATGTGAGAGTACGACGGCTTATGCCAGCTATGCTTGCTTGCCTTTACTTTATCATGCTATTTCTAGCATAGGATAATTATATGCATGCATGAATTGCTTGATTTCCTAGGCTAGGTGCTTTCCTATATTTTATTATAGTTATAGCACCGAGCTAGGTTGCGTGCACCGAATTCTGGCTTTTCGGTTGCCACCGAATTGCCTTCTACCGAATTCGGTAAGGATCCGTTCGGGACGCTACACGGCCCGCGGAACCTTCGCGTAACACCTGGTTACGGGGCCTTGTGTCGAGCCTATATATAGCCTCGTGTTGTACCCAGGTGAACATTCAATTCGACTCAATTCTCATTCTCTTTTCTGAACTCGATCCTAGATCCTCACACTTGGTAATCAGAGCCCGTTTACACGCGAATTTCTTTCGACCGCTAAAAAACCAGTCTTCAAAAACCGCGGGGGCGACGCAGTCAAACATCGATTTCGGGTACGTAAAACCGGTTCCGTGTTTTTCGTGTCAGAATGTTATCTTATGCTCTAGCCTGTAGTGGGGTGCTCTATAGCGAGTACAACCCTTCTAGGGTTTCCTATTTGTATCCCCATTCTTGCTAGTGCAGTCCTCTTCTCTCTTCTAAATTTCACATGCTATCAAAGCAGGTCGATCCCCTTGGATCGATCCTGTCGGTGGACTTACCACCTCGTTGCTTCCGCTGCAACTCCTACTGCTACTGCTATCACTACTCTCTGTGCCGCAAGCCCCGTGGCGTGCGGCAGTTTTTCATCCCGCCGTGCGCTCCGAGGCGCGCGGCGGTTTTCTGCCCGCCGTGCGCCCCGAGGCGCGCGGTGGTTCTCTTCCCGCCGTGCGCCCCGAGGCGCGCGGCGGGTTACTGCCCCGTCACGCCGCACGCCGCTCCCGGGAGGCGCTGCGACGGGCGACGGGGACCTCCGCGTCGCCCCCCGTCGCCCGTTGTGGCCTGCGCGCGGCCCGTACAGCCTGCGCGCGGCACGTACGGGCCGCGCCAGACCCGTCCGCGGCCCGTACGGGCCGCGCCAGGCCTATGCGCGACCCGTACGGGCGGCGCCAGGCCCGCGCGCAGCTCGGGCGACCTGGGGGGTGGTGGGTGTGTAGTCTCCCCTGCTCCTCCTCCTCCTCTGTCTCCCACTGCTGCAGCTACCGCTGAGGGGGGTGGGTGTGTGGGGTTCGACGGAGTGGTGCTAGGGGGTGGGGTGAGAGTGGAGCTAGGGGTGTAGCAGCGGGTGTGTGTCAGGGGGAGTGGGATCGTTTGGGGAAGCTGAATGGAGGTTGCCGTCGTGTCGCCAGCAGCACCTGTATTCCGGGGACTTCGTCCGGTGGCCCAGTCGTAGCCAGCTGTGCCAGCCGCCTGTGGGTCCGTTGCTCGTCTGCCGCTACTTTAGCCGCGGGGCCAGTTACTCCAGTATTCTGGAGCGTTGTTCCGGTAGCCGCTGTGCCAGTGTGCCTCCTGTTGCCCGTGTGTCTGCAGCTTCATCCGTCGCCTCCTATCTCCTCTCCTCTCACTCTCTCTCCTCCTCCTCACTTGCCCGTTGTGACTACCACTAGCTTTGCTCATAATTGTGAACTTTAAACTATTGCTTCTTGAACTTGTGCTCAGAATGTGTGGTGACATTGTGATCCACCCTGAGCTTGTACTGCTTTGCTTGCTCTGCTGATTACACCCCACTTTGGCTATGGGGGTGTGTCAGAATGTTATCTTATGCTCTAGCCTGTAGTGGGGTGCTCTATAGCGAGTACAACCCTTCTAGGGTTTCCTATTTGTATCCCCATTCTTGCTAGTGCAGTCCTCTTCTCTCTTCTAAATTTCACATTTCGCTCCCCCTCGATTCGGTTTTTTCGGACGCGTTGATGTCAGGCATGGAGGGCCAAGGCGACAACTACGCGACTACGAGCGACATCGCGAGCCTCCGCACCGACATGGAGCAGACGCAGGCGACGCTTCGTCGACTCGAGGCTTTTCTGACAAGCCAACCAGGGTTCGCCACCGCAGCAGCAGCGACCATAGCGACTGCAGCACCGACAACTCCAGCAGCAGTGGCGACACCGACATTTCACGGACCAATGGCACCACTGTCGCCGAACCTCGAAGCAGCACGACCGAGGCTCCCGGAGGCGTTCGATCCAAGCGCGAAGGGATCCGACGTCCGGCGATTCGTGGCCAACCTCGAAATTTACTTCGAGGCCATTGGCTGTTCGACCCCGCAACACGACGTAGCAAGGATTCGGCTCGCAGCGACACTGTTACGTGGACCGGCTCTCGAATGGATTTACTACACCGACGTAGCCCGCAGGGAGAAAACGTGGCAGCAGTTTCGAGCAGATTTAATCGAGCGTTTCGAACCAATTAATACAACCTACATGGCGCGGCAGCAGATACACCGACACAAGCAATACAGTAGTGTAACACAGTACACGCAGCAGATGGAGTTACTGTTCAACCGCATCACCGACCTGACCGAAGGCGAAAAAATCCAGGCGTACACCGAAGGATTAAAAATGGAGATTCGGCGGCAGGTGATTGCGGGGAATTACAACAGCTACAGAGACATCGTGCGTGCTGCCGAGCGATACGACGCGCTGATTCGAAGTCAACCCGAAACACGACGCTTCACGCCGAACCGTACATTCGGCACGGAGCGATCGGCACCCCCCACGTTCGCCGAACCGATGGATATCGACAAATACGACGCGAAGCAGCAGCCGACAAAATGCGAATTTTGCGGCGCAGCAGGACATCAGTTTTTGTCGTGCTACAAAACGAAGAAAGCACGTGCGGCACTCCGGGACGGATACAGTGGAGCACCCCCGAAGGCAAAAAACGGGAATCGCCAGTAGCCGCGGATCGACCTGGCGATCGCGTAAAGATCCGAAAAGCAGGAAAAGGCGACGACGTGGCGACTTCGGAACGGGTGAAAAAAGGAGAAAAAGATGGCGCGAATTTAAAACGTCACGACCGATCGGCATCAGGGGAAATCGCCGAGGCGAATGGAGGCTCCGCCATTCGTTAAACTCCAGCCGAACACCCACGAAAGTAAGAATTCGTTAAAAGTATCCTATAAAGATGCTCCAACGAAGAATATTGCTTCTCGTGGTTAACAAGCCTTCAAAAAATTCAGGGGAGGTCTAGAGGCCAAGAAAAATCCTTTAGAAATTATTCAGGTACCTGAGAAGTAGGGCAAAGTACTACGGAGCGTAGAAAAGGGTCGTGCGTTCCGTGGAGTTAATATTCTCTCCCCGCAGCACAGTGTTAAGGCTCCCCGTCGCCCACAGGTGAAGCCTACACAACTGCCAAGGCTTAGAGGAGACATCCAGGCTCAGGAGAAATTATACAAGCCTCGGAAAAATCCTCCTACCCCCCAGGTGAAGTTGGAAAGCGCTGAGTCAGGAATAGGAAAAAGGGAAGGTATTAAGTTTGATGTACCCTATGATCCTATTAACGAGACCCTCTTTCGCTACTCAGCGCAGCAGAAACCACTACTCCTCGAGGTGTTATGCAATGGGCGACGCCTCCAGGCACTGGTGGACAGCGGTGCATCTCACTCGGTGTGTGACCACGGAACATTGGAGAAAATTGGAGAGAAGGCGGAAGAGACCCAGTTTTCAGCAACCATGGTGGACGGTACGAAGCTTCCTATCCACGGCGAAGCATCACTGCAACTGCATATAGGTGCGTTGAGGTGGAAGCCGAAGCTATCAGTCACCAACATCAAAGGATTAGATTTTATCTTGGGGCGAGATTTCCTGAAGCGATTCAACCCCAAGATCGATTGGGTCAACAGCAAGGTGTGCATCTACAACAATGGGAAGCGGATAGCACTGCGAAGCTGGACGGATACAGGGGACGTACCTGAAACGACACTGGCACGGTTCGAACAGACGGTGAACGAG